GTATATACTAGTTCACTGTATTCATGGCACTGCGGCCCAATGCTCGCTAAAGTAGGTTACGCCCAGCGAGTGTAGCGTAGCAACCCTTTCTTGTCAGATAGTGCTCAATGTACATGCCAATGGCTGCTAAGGGGGAATGAGAGACAGGAGAATTCGGCTTTTAGTTAACGGGCACGCTGTGAATTTTTTATTGTTCAACAACGCACAGAATAAATCTCCCACCGGCACCACCTTGGAGCTCAAAATGTAAGGCTGGTTACACACTACTACTAAGACTATGAGGGACGAATGGGTGCCGCTATAAGGAGCTTCGCCCCTAAAAAAAAGAGAAATATACAATGGTGTTTTCAATGGCTTCTGCAAACATAGATGGTTAGTGATGGCACAGATGGCGCGAGGAAGGCCATTCCAGTCTTTTGCTGCTCTTACGAAAAAGGAGGCTTGGAATGTAGTGTTCGGGGTACGTGGTATTGCGACTTGTAACAGATGACCAGTGCGATGGGATATGTGTGGAGGGGGCGTGATGTACGGTGGATGATTCAGTGAACTGTAATAAAACATGAAGAAGAGAGAGAGAGTGGCACACTGTCTGCGTGAAGCAAGGATTTCCAGACCTAATTCCGCCTTTAGAGATGAGATGCTGATATCGTACGAATATGCAGAATGAATGAGCCTGGTAGCCCTGATTTTGAAGCGATTCGAGTTCTCTTATGATGTATGATTGATGAGGGCTTCAGATGGAAGATGCATACTCGAGTTTGTACCTGATAAATGATTTGTATGCAAGCGTCTTGACGAGAAGTGGAGTATGGCGCAAGTGTCGTCTGAGAAACTCGAGTGATTTATTAGCAGACGAGATGATGTTAGTAGTGTTATGATGCCTACTTAGGTCATGAGCCAAGGTGATGCCGAGGTATTTGAATGATTGAACTCATTGTATGGGAACATTAGCGATGGAATAGGTAAACTCAAAAAGGTCACGGTGGCGAGAAAAAGAAACAAGCTTACATTTATTAGGATTTAAATTCATTAACCAACGATCACACCATGTTTATATGTTGTTAAGATCATGCTGAATGAGTGTTTGGTCATGAATGTTGGTTACCGATCGGTAGATTACGCAGTCATCGGCAAGCATACGAAATTTATATGATACATGCAATGGTATATCGTTAATGTAAATTGAATAGAGTACAGGCCCTAAGACACCCTCGCGAGACACCTGAAGTTACAGGTAGTTGGTTAGAAGAGTGATAGCGATTATTAACAAACACAAACTGGGAACATGCGTTGCAGATATTCCGAACTTCCATAGTCAGAAGCACAACGTGCACAATTATACAGGACTAACCAAGTTGCATGGCTATAGTAACAATATCTATGTGCCGATACAACGGTGTGATCATGAGACACACCATAGTGGACGACTTCAGAAATTTCAACCATCTGATGCTTCTTGCTGTCCACCAACATTCGCATAGTACACAGGTATCTAGTATTTGGTTGCCATCAGAATACTACCACCACAGCTGGAATCGAACTTGTGATCTTCCGGCCAGCAGCTGAGCATCGCACTGCACCACCACAGTGTACTGCCAAGTCTTATGCCACTATCTGCATGAAGCCAAAGGATAGTTGCTTGAATATGCGATGTGTAAAATATTCTTGTCCCATAATGCCCATTTGTGCATGCAGTCCAGGCTAGAAGCAATGAAATTTATTATGCATGTATGCTGAAAACTTCAGAATTACACAAATATTGCCTAAATATATAATTCGCAATGCGGTATGTGACAGCAAATTGGACCAGTTGATTCGTCAAGCAGAGCATTGAAAGAAGCATGGCACTAAACATGGCCATCAGCATTGCGAATCTTAAAGAAGCAACGCTCAGCTTAGCAACATTGGTTCTAACAGGGCATCTTTTTCCCTGGTCGCAATGCAAGCACGTACCCATTGTTATGCATTTCGGCCTCTCGCTGTTATTTGTCTTAGTAAGGTTACACTTCAAGACGACTCACCACCAGCATTATTCAAAGTAACTGGATAATAATGTCTGGGGTTTTCCATTCTAAAACCACGACATAATTACGAGAGACGTCGTAGTGGAGGGCTTCGGAAATTTTGACCATCTGGGGTTGTTTAGCATGCACCGACATCATACAGTACCCGTGCCTCTACCATTTTGCCTCCTTCACAATGCAACTGCCGCGGCCGGGATTGAAGCTGCGACGTTCAGATCAGGAGCTGGGGACCTTAGCCACTGCTCCACCGAGGCGGGCCATAAGGAAATAGAAATTGCGAATGAGAGCTGCACTACTTTAATCAAATTGTAGGTGTGACATGGATTGAGCTATCTTCAGATGGGCATTGAGGCCAAGCGATAACGCATATTCATGCTGACACACATATAAATAATGGACCAACTTGACCCTTGAGATCAGATTCAATGCTCGCCCCTGACATCACTTGAATGTTGATTTTCATTCGGAGCATTAGCTAGCGCTATCATTGCGTACAGATGGAATCTCGCACTTGTCTAGAGCAGTGGAGCGTTTGTGTGTGGACACTTGTTGACCGCAGCTGCTACCTGGAATGTAAACATTCGACAGAAGTCTGTCTGGTTGGTTATGAAACTGGGAGATGATTTAGACTCCAACCAATCGTCTTGAAGAACCACGTCGGTTTCGAAACGTCGGGTTTTTTCAAAACTTTTGGTTGGCGTCTAATTCATCTCCCAGCTGCTACCTCACATTAGCTACAAGTTCCTGTTCATGCTTTAATTATAGCACAAGGACCTAGCTTGCAATACGACTACGCTAGGCATCTTTACGTCATCGGTCTTTACAACATTTCTGTAGAAAATGGCAGCTGAAGTGGCCAGCTGTGTGCTCTAGAAAACTGTCATTCCACCTGTACAGCACTCATAAATTTAAGTAATTTTTTTTTTTTTTTGCACTAGAATGATTGCTATCAGCAATTGCCTGTCATAACTGTCTCCTATAGGTACGGTAATGTTGGTTCTGGTGTGTTGTCACTGAAGTGTTAGAGTTAAAATTACACTGATGTAACATAAAACGTAGATGCTAAAACCGAAAGTGTGTGCATTACTTAGGCCTAAATTTTTGGGTTTGAATCCATGAATACTGGAGATTGTTTATTCATGCTTTCCAGTGGTCATTCTGCTTCTCTGTGAGAAAAGCAGCGACACTGGCGAGTGTCACAGGTTTCGCAAGAACCAGGAACTTACTAGGTTGTGAAATTCCTGTTCAAGAGGACGAAGCTGGTTCTGCCTCTATAGTCGATCGAAACTTGACAGCTTCATGAAATTATGTATACGATTTGTCTTATTATTGCCAATGCATATCAAACCTAATATGACCACTATTCTGCATTTTATTTCATTGCAAGTTGTAGATTTTTTCAAGTTGATATGCTTAGCCTCAATCATGGATGATAATGCCCACAGATTTTTTGTTTCAATAACTAAATCCCACTGAACTATCTGCAGATGCAAGATATGCACTATCTTGGCACTTTCAACATCATTTTGGTTGCCCTTGTGGCACCAAGGAGCAATGTTAGCATGTCAAAGTACTGGATAATTAAGAATTAGGAATCTTGCAGAGACCTTTTGGTAGGTGAGGAATTTCCACAAAAAATGTAGGAGCAACAATTGTGCAAAAAGTCTAGCCAAGTCATAAAACAAGACTAGTGATGACTCTGCTTTGCAGTTCCTTCACAATGCAGCTACTGGCAACTTCTAGATAACCTGTCAGTAAAAATAAGCTACATTAAGGTTGCCGAGAAACAAGAAGCTCAACATAGTGGTAGCAGTAAACTTATATTGTGTGAAGGGGATCGAAAGGTCAGTGAGCGAGGCCCATCAACTGGCTCACTGGACTCTGCAAGGGAGGGCCAGTTAATCCTTCCTTCTTTTGCAGGTAAGCAAGGACCCCCCTCCCCTCACTGCACATTTCTTGGCATTTGCTCGAATAAGGAAAAATTGTTAAGTGTGGGGCCACGCATTTCAGTCCCAGGTAATGTGGGCAAGAGTGAGCAACTCTCTAGGCTTCTGTCATATGTCCGCATTGTGTTGGGCTCATCTGGTGGTGTGTAACATTTGTGCATATCTGCTTTTAATTGGCATCAATCGTAAGCCTGTGATCTCTGGCCAGCTACAGGAGCGGTTATCTTATTAGTGAAACTATTAAGTGCCTCATCAGATGCTGGCCGTGAAGAAACATGGCTAGTGGTACAAAGACCCAGGCGACTTTAATAAACATTGATACTTGACCTGAAATTGAACTCAAGTCTTCTACCACATAGCCAAGCCTGTGTCGAAACTGCTTTGGGAAGAGACTACACACAGCAGTAATGTTGGACAAGGAGTCACTTTAACAAATGTAATATCGTGCGTAAGAAGCGTAGAATCGCACCAGCCATCCTACCATGTGAACTGCATAACGAGTAAGTTATTGAGAGCTACCAAGCTACAAACGGCCGAGCGATATCTATCATTATTGAGAGAATGAACAAGATGCTGACCTTGAAAATAGTGTGCACTATACAAGAACTTGCGTGATCCTTCAAGCTCAGATGGTAGCTTGTGCATTTGAGGGGTCTTTGTAAAGTTCATAATAGATCCTTTAAGTTTGTCTGAAGTTCATTAATAGGGTTCATAGGCACATGAATGTGAGATGCATGAGCTAGTCAATCAGCTCGTTTGCTTCCCTCCAGTGCCCTATATGCTGGGCACCATCTGCACTGTGTCTTTGTTACGCAGCAAGCTGTTCTGGCCACTGCTCTTAAGAGTACAAAGGCTCAGCTCACCTCACTTTATCCCTGACTGGCTAAGATCAGAGATCGTTAACATTGTTCACTCCTTGTATGGGGCACACTGCTTGTTCAGCCGCCGAAAAAATGTCACGCGAGTATTGTTCTGCAAGGCCAAGCAGGTGGCCCGTGAGCAGAGCAAAGAATTCAAAGCCAGCACAAGATTCGGAGGTCTTCCCAAATTTAGTTTAAAACTATATAATGAGATACAACAACCACAACGTGAGTAATGCATAGTGTTCGGCTCATCACTTTTTCGCAACTTCCTGATCACACAGCCGTGAGGCCAGTGGCACAACGCAGCACGCAGTCCAGAGGAGGAGCGGCATTCATTAGTTCAGGCAGTTGACCGCTGTTGAGACGAGAATCTTGCGATGCGCTATTGCTCGGTCGAGGCCACAATGCTTGCACACTCCACCACAACGCCACTATTGACAACACCCAATATAAAAGAACGCACAAAATTTGCAGCATCGAAACACAAGACACACATCGGAAGAAACACCACAACAAGTCCAGCAGAAAACAAAGGTAAGCGACGTTAATAGATCACGAGCAGCATCGAAAACTTGCACCAAAAAAATAGTTTCTCAACTCCACATCTAACCAACAGTTGACAACCACGAAAAAATGTTTCCACACAGTGGAAGCCCTAAATGAAGATCAGATAGGTCCATAAATATACAACATACACATCAAACGTGAAACACCTTTGTCCTCGGGATATAACGTAAAGTCCTTCTGTGATTTTCTTCAGCACATGCAAACATATCTTGTAAAGCTGCCATGGCATTTAGTTTTGCACATGTGACAGATAACCGAGCACAACTTGGCTGAATAGCAGGAGGCAGAGAAAATTCACGAGCCTCACAACAAGAATATTGACAATGAAAGTTTTACATAGCTGACACTCATCAGCTGAAAAACCAGCATTGGTTGAACACCGGGGATAATCCATAAACCAAATGGGTGCTTGCATTCCATCGCTTTTTCCAACTCTGCATTTCTCCGACTGCTATTTTATTAATCGAAATTAAGCTTTGCATCCGGTTTACCACGATAACGAAATCTTGCGCAAAAAGCAGGACGCCTCCGCATTGCGACAACTTTACTAAACAATGTCGTTTGCACAGCGGCGATTCAATACAAGAAGAAAAGAAGAGAAACATTTTGGAGTAGTGCAAAAATCGAGAACAGAAGGAAACAGAAGGGAAGGAAAAAAATACTGTTTGTTCTGTCTCCTTTCATTTTCGAATGTTGTGCTACTACGATGTTCAGCAAACACCAACTCTCCCTTGCAGATACCCTAAGGTCTATTCCCTAAGTCAAATCTGTGCTATCCACACAACCATCACGTAAAGCAATACACAATGAAGTTGCAAGACCTAAGTTTGGGCTTTGGTCTCAAGATAAGCCACACTATTGTGTAGCTGAATTCGTGCAACACTATGACATGAACTTGTTTGTTGAACTTGTTGAATAATTTGTTAAACAGCAGTCACAGACATTTTTAATGACAACTTGGAACATGTTTTTGGCACACCGAGTTACAGAACATAGCTTCACTTATCTTTGTTATTAAGGGGGTTATATTTGCATTGCTACCAAAACAGCGAGCAATGGTACACTGTGAACAAAGGTACAAAATGCTCACTAGAAACTATGCTGAGGCATGTCCCGGTGGCAACACTGTTTGGCAAGATACAATAGCCTTGCTCGCTTGCACCCCATCCCTAAAATGCAAAAATTGGACGTTGTGCAACTGACCGGTAAAACTGTGCATTGTAGGAGCCAATTAGAGGAAAAGTGCATTGCCAATGTAACTTTTGTTCAAACCAGTGATACAGCGAAATGGATGCTGTAATGTGACGTATTTATTTGCCTACTTCGCAACAAAAAAAAAATTAAGCCCACTTCTTGTACATGTATGACCTCGTGCACATTCTACAGAGTAACACTGCATACAGTCTTAAAGACAAACGCGTAGCGAGTTTCTTCGATGCGCTTCAATATTACAGCAGTGCTAACAACAAGCCAACAAATTCCTTGCCGTGCGAGTGTGCCATGTTAAGCTTTCTGATCTTCGAGCAAGCAAACAAACAGAGCCAAAATAATGACCTCCCAAGCATAAAGTCTCGGTGAAACAACAAATGGATACCAATGTATACAACATTCACGGAGTGGAGAACAGCAGTACGCAGTATGCCCAGATCCGCAAGGCCACATAAAAAGCACACGCCAAATCAACAGGGCACTGCGCCAATGCACAATCTTTGATTCGTCGGTGAAATTTCGTTGTGCTATAAATGGATACTGCTTATTGCAGGCCCCTCTCTTTTTTTCATGCAACAAGGACAGAATAATAGTAAAAAGAAATGAATATGTTCTCATGCCGCTTAAAAACTGCTGTTAATGCTTAAGGAAACCCACTCTACACAATTGTCAACAGCCGAAAATTTCCTAGAAAAGACTCCATACACATGACAATTGTTATAGTGGGAAATCAGAATGATGACAAAGGAACAAGAAGACAAAATATGAGAGCATGGTATTTGTTTCTTTCATCATCATTTTGTCCGTCTTCTTGTCCCTTTGTTGTCGTTCTGAGCTCGCACTATGACAATCTTCATGCCATACCAACTAGCCCAAACTGCCACGCTTCTGAGTTCCATGCACATCCGAGCTGAATGTTGGACACGAGCAGCCAACAAGAACCCACTTGGATGGCATAGCCACAACTTTTTAAACTTCCCCCTTAAAGAGCATTTCACAATTTCAGACAACAGTGTTGTCCAATTTCAGAGTGCCGTATATTATATAAAGCATGCATTAACTGCAACATCTTGTTTTTTGCGTCAGAGCTACAACCAGGTGTGGAGTTCCAGCTTAGCGACCGGGTCTTGTCGCTAGGCTGGAAACCCACAATGCTTCTGGTTAGACCACTAAACCAAGAGCGAAACAAGGCGACCTCAACTTCGGCCACAGTGCTACCAGTGTCCATGCTGCATGACCCACGAGAAAACCACTAGAATGCAAAACAAAGGTGGCTGTTTACATCACAGGTGACGACTGAAGTTGTAAAGCCAACACAGAAGGTCTGGTATGATACAGATGAGGGATTTGGGCAGTGTTCGTGTAAGAAGAAACTCTTCAGCTGCCTTCATTTCATCAAGTAATGATTGCAGGTTCTGACCAGTTCTGTCAATTAGGCACAGAAAAAAAATTTTTTAAATAGAAAGAGAAACTAAATCTGCATCACTGAGGCAAAGATGCCCATTGTCAACATTGTAATGAACCCACGAGACGACAGCCACAAAAGCAGTGCCAACACCACTGTATCTGTTATGCACAGCAGTGTAGGTGTACAAAAAAAGATACAGTTTGCAATGCATTGTACCATCAGCAATGTCTTCACCCAGCCTGTCCACAGTCAAAGACGTGAAAGCTGGCAGTGAGGTAAGGCCCCTCGCCGGCAACTGGCAGGGCTGTTATATATATATGCGTATATATACAGAAATTCTATCTCTCGCTCACTCTCGTGGCATTTAGAAATGCAGTCAGTCACTGGTATGGCAACGCTGCCACATTTTGCAAAGGGCAAGCGAGCGTCGAAGTGGCACAACAAACGAGTGTCCGATCTACTTGTCAACAGCCGATACCTGCACCTCGCTCAGCAACCGCACCAGATTGTCCAGTCCAAGCAGATAACCCGCATCTGGCCCACAGTGTCGCGTGGTGTCACCCTCGTAGCCCTCGTGTGTCGTGTGCGCAAAGTCAATCATCCGCACGTCCACACGCGGCGGAGACGGCGTGTCGTCCTCTTCCGACTCCACGGAAGTCCCTGCCGTGCTGCTAGGAGGCCTCAGTCGTCTTCGTGCGAAGACGTCGGAGAAGTGCCCTCGTAGATGACGAGCAGCGAGGACTGAATAGAAGCGGAAGGAGTTCTGGCGCTCAACGGCCCGACGCAGCGATTGCAATCGCTGTGTGACTAGCGCCACCAGGTCGGCACGCAGTCGGTAGCCATCGTGGAAGAACTGCCGCAGACAGTGGCGCAGGCCCCGGTCGTCCAGCCGCCGGCCGTAGTACTTGTCCCGGCACACGAAGCTGCCCGACTGGTACACCTGAGTGGGCAGGCGACATATGTGCATCAGAAACTATGCAGACCAACACACTCTAAGCAAAGTTTGTCAAACAAAATGCTGTCTGGCACTGTGCACCTTAAGACGAGTAGGTGGCCTGTGTTAAGTAACTTTTGAGCCTCCTCAAGACAATATTATGTTTGCTCAATCATGCACTCAAATTCCTTTCTTGCCTTTCCTCCACAGCACTGCTTAACCTTTGCTACATGGTGACATCACTTCTCATTGAACTTCTAATTACTCAGCGACTTAGCCTCGACTTTCTATACTCCGGAGCAGCGTAACAAATAAGTAGAACCCCAGTAATAAATACAAGCACAGTTGGTAGAAACTTCAATTTGAAACATTTGTCTTCTCTTCCTCTATTGTGCTTTTTTCGCTGTTGCTGAAGTGGAACATCATTCCCCTGGCCAAAATATGTTGTGTGCAACGTGCAAAACATCCCCAGTTCTATACATGTTGCTGAACGACCACGATGGTATGAATAATAAAGCTGCAGCTACATAACCTACAAATCTAGCAAAGTGATCAGTACCACACAATCCCCTGCAGTCTCCAGCTCACAATGCTACTGGCTACATAATGTGCCATCACAACCTCTCATTGGTCATTCATGATTAGCTTTGCCTGGCACAGACGACAGGAAAGATGGGCTACATGACCTCTATAGTCAGAAATGTGGCAGCACGGCTGCTGGTTTCTCTTACTAAATGTGTGGAATAAGTGAATGTAGATTAGCTTTAGATCAAAGAGAAATGACCAAAAATCACTCAGTAGAAAATGGCTCTTCTTTCCTGATGAATTCTAATGAATCAAAAGGCAGGTAACTTCGTGCTCTATTCATTTAGTTGCTCCTGTAAATGTCTTAAAGCCTCCATGAAAGAGTATCACAGTGATGCACTGACAATCCTTGATATACCAAATTACTTTCTACAGAAAAAATTGCAATAGCGCATTGAAAAAAGAAAGAAAACAAAAGTACCACAATGTACTCGGTGCATACAGTGTTTCATCCCTGCCCACCTCCTTGATTAGCACATTAACACACGCACTGCTAGCTGTTCTTTTGCCCTTTTCACTGGGACCGGGTTTGACTGTCTAAGACTGTTACACATCACTCGTTGTAGGGCTTACCTGAATGCACTGAAATTTTCTCAATAGAATTTCCTAACGAGACTGCATGCAAAACACTAGTGGTTTAGCACTTTCAGCAACCTATGCAAGCACTAGCAATAACTGTGTATTGTGCATAGATGCATGCATAAAGTCCAACCCATTTTACCCACTAATCATATATTGCTGTCAACATACAATCATCCTCCTCGCTACTATTACTGTAATGCGAACATCTTTCTGCTTGGCACAGGTGTGCCCTGAGCCGGTTTTACTGCTGTGTTCCTTAACATCGCAATTGTATCGCAATACTAGATGCTGTGACACAGTGGAGCCCTGGATGTGCAGTTCTTCTGAATGGCCTGAAATCAACTTTTGTGTCACAGTGAATATTCAATGCGATGAGGCAGCATTGTTTGAAGGAGGCTGTCAAGATAGGGCACAGAATTTGGAGTACTACTAGTAGCAAGCTCTGAAAGAGCAATTCTCATGGCACCTTCCTGAAAAATGTGGAAGGCTTAAGCAGGATGAATTATGGGCGGTTTCACCAGGAGCTTGCCTTGTGGTTTTAGTCCGAGTTGCTGGCCGCGGCTACTTTTGTAGCTATCTTTACTGCGGATCGAACTATTCTGATGACTCTCTCGCGCCTCAAGCACTGCTGTGTGGTGCCAGTAAGCAGTCTGCGATCCAGGACTAATTCGCTATCACAAGTCAAAACAATCTGTTTCCCGATAAATGGAGGCTGAAAGAGCGCTTATATATATATGTCCAGCTCACTTCAGTAAAGAAAAGTAAAGCTCTCATGGAATGAATGGGATGCTCACATGTTAGCAGACTGATGAAGATCCCAAGTATACAAGAAATATGCCGGACACTGTCATCTTTCATCCATGAGACATCCCGCGCTGAAGCCTGAACTGGATAACAAAACCTGAAAGCTGGCCGGCACTGAAAATTCATTGTTAAGAGGCTTATTTTATTTGTAGCATCATCAGTGACGTGTGCTGTTCAAAGCAGCATCAGGACACAAAGTAGTCGCATGCAACATGAGTCGCCGCTCAGTGTACATTGCAGTACCTACATTCTGCTGCCAATTGATGGACACCATTGAATTTGCTTTTTATGAAAGCAATGCCTCGAGCGGATTGGTATCGGTGGGGAAAAATGACTCGCCGCCTGTCAACGCTCTAGCTCATCTTTCGATGTGATCGTGGACTCATGTAGAGGGGCTTAACGTTGAAGTTCGGTTTATTAATAGTGAGTAAACCATAGCGTGAAGCAGCCACACCTGACATCATCTCATAATGAGTATGTTTTATATTATCTCAGTTGCAGCAAACATTGTGGATCACAACTGATTCCGATCGGGGCCGCTCTCTATCAAAAATGCCTGATGTGACACCAGTGCAATATTAAACATATGATGGTGATGTTGTGCACCTGGACCAAACTACATAAATATCTCCGCAGCTGTAACAGGAGACAGGTCTCTAGCTGCTTTCAAAAAGTTGAATTGAAAAAATTCTTTATACAGCGAATCAGGTGCCTCTTCTTCTCACTGCTGTTTTCGCTCGTACCTCTCCCTTGCAACGTCGTCAAACCCATCCATGTATTAGAGACATCACTCTGACCACATCTGTGGCAATCACCATAAATGATACAGCAACAAACTCTAACACACCAGGCAAACATCATTAAAAAGTATTATCAGAAGTACCACACCAGAACTTTTTCTGGGCAGGCTGTTCGGCATATACCTGCTTGTTTACAAACAACAAAACCTATCTACCTTGCATTCCAAGAAACCTCTGCCTTGGTAAACTTCACTTCACTACAGCTGTGTAAATGTCAAGAAGCATACAACCAACAAAAACAACAGCCTTGCAGTGAAGTTTAACCTCTCCCCCACCCTCTGTGGAGATTGTTGCCAAAATGGCAACCTTGCTATGCAAACAACGGGACGAGCTGCCTAGCCTGATACCCATATTCTTGAAGAAGGCCAAGATTGAATAAACTTTTTGCATTTATCATGTTCTCAAAAAAAAAAAACTAATGCAAGTTTCCACTCTTCACAGTATCATGAGACCATCCAAGCCTGGCATTGTTTTTAGATAAGCTCCAGATAGCCATCTCATCTTTCATGTGATCTATACATCTCATTTCATAGTTTCATTCACATTTGGTATATCTGGGTAACGAGTTTGACTAACAGGCACATGGGTACATTATGTTGTTATGTGTAGAAAAAAAGCACATGTCAGGGATGAAATTCGTGTCACGCTGACCATGTCTGAATGGGGGAAGAATGTGAAGACAATTGAGTACTTATATTTAGATGCACATCATGGAACTTCACGTGGCTGGAGTTGATGCAGACTTTTACACTTCCCTTATTTCCAAGATTTTTTCCTTTAGGAAGTGACATGTTCCCACTTTCCCAACCCTCTCTCAAAAAATCTGTTGCCACATTCTTCCTAACCTTGATGATTTATGGAGCCATCCACACGCATCTCCCTTCCACGAGTGGGTGGGAGATACAGCGCCTCGCAGCTAGAACGGCATTCAGGAAGAATATGGCTACTTAAAGCAAGTATCACCAATGGGATCTTCGTAGGCGGTGCTTCAATGGTAGTCCATAAAGTGGAGAAGAAAAAAAAAGAGAGACTTTACTTTCGGTACTTAGATAAGGACATGCTACGCCTCGTAATATGACCCCAAGGCCTTACTACCAGTTCGAAGCCCTTGTTATATGCTACCTGAAATAAAATATGCCTCATTGTACTTGCACAAAACTAAAATTAAATTGAATTCTGGGGTTTTACCTCATCATCACCTTTGGCAGTCTGGGCAGCAGCCAAACTAGGGTGAATATACCAGGAAATTTCCTAATTTCGTCAATCTATACTACTCTTAAGGCACAGTCCTATCCTTGGAACTGTCCTTCTTAACTCACTAGGAACTGTCCTCATAAGATAGGAACTGTCCTCAGGCACAGTTCCTATCTCTTGGTATCTATTATGTCGCTCTAACCAACAACCAGTTATATTTTCTTTTGAATATGTAACCAGCATAGGTACAGTCTTTTTCTCTTAACATTAGCTAGCATATTGGCTACCACGCTTTTCTCATGCCTCTTTTACATGAGAAAACCAAGATATGATCGTGAGGCACTTCGCAGCCGGCAACTTAGTTAATTTTAGGTCACTGTTCTTATTTAAAGTGCGGAGAATTTCTTAGTCCCACCATGTCACTCGTCGTCCACGTCCACACTCCCACTGCGCATGCTTGGCTGATCTCCACTCCCATCCCTCTCTGCCCTTTCATCTCTTTTCCTCCCCCTCTTTCGCTTGACTTCACGCTTTGCTTGACTCAAGTAGATGCGATGGAAGCAACAGATAGCAACAGTACCTTTAACCAGTACTGGTGCACAACACAACATCATCGTTCCACCAATCGTTCAAGGCAACGTTACTCCATGCTCACCGTCTTCAGCGTCAACAACAGCAAGCAGCGCAGAAGACAAGGCTGCGAAGAAATGAGCATACGACGCTGAATGCAAACGTTTGAAGCAAGCTGCGGATCCTTCACTCGGGTGACGAGAAGCAGCTGTGAAACGGCAACGTCGAGCTGCAGTATTCCGAACTTCGTGCACGAGAATCAGCTGTGAAACGGCAACGTCGAGCTGAGGATTCTCAACAGAAGATTTTGAACTCTGAACTGGGATTCTGCACTGGGGATTCTGAACAACGTGCGCGAGAAGTAGCGGCAAACAATGAGCAGCGAGCTTTAAGACCAGAGGTACGTGAGCGAGAAGCAGCTCCGGAAGCTACTCTGGTGGAAGCCACGCAGTTTGTGCTGCCGGCCACTCATTTCAAATGCGACTTCGAATACCACAGCTTCAGACACAGTTGTAAGGTGTGCGACCTACTGCGCTTCGACAACGACCTTACGCTAGTCAGGAGCATCAAGAACAAAGCGAAGCAGACCAACACGCTACAGGTTCTTTAAAGCACATTTGGCAATGTCGACTTGAAGGGCCGCGGCGTCAACGACAACATTAACAGCGACAATGCTGACGACAGAGAGACTGCTGGAGCCATTCCAAGTCGTACTTGGTGTGCGCATCGTGTAAGGACTCGTTGGTACGTAGGCACATACCATCGATGAGCGTGATCTATGGCATGGCTAACGTTACCCGCCTCGACCCGCACACCTACCTGAGATGAACGCGACCCGGTGAGTCCCAAATCATACCCAATTACGCAACATTCACGGGATACCCCCACCTACTCTGGGACGCATTTACTCAAGTTCCTTCTGTGGGAAGATACAAGCGGCTTTTTTTAAAATTTGCACCAACACATGAGCATATTTGCATTTCGCCCATATCAAACTCCTACCACTGTTGCCAGGGGGTGTTAGGCTGCTTGAACTCAGCGGGACAACACAACTGCTAACAAACCCTAGCAAGTGTGAAAGTGCAACACTTTCTTTAACGAACTATTGCAAGCGATGTGATACCGACCTGCATGCCGCAGATGCGGACACCTAACGAAGCAGAGGTGCTAGCGGCGCACTTGGCCATCTGGCGATGGCGCTTCTCCTCGGAGGCGTCGTCCCCGTGCTGCCGCGTGCCCATCTTCAAGTCCAGAATGCACGGCCGACGAAAGTGCGACACCACGTTCTCCAACAGCAGCAGGTCTGGATCATTTGGGGCTAAGGACGCCAACACTCAATAGCACAAATGCATCAAAAGTCGGGGCAAAGATCGAGCGTCAAGTCGCTCAAGGTATGTTGCCACATTTATACATATCTTTTTAGATTTTATTCGTATACTGAGTGCTCTGTGTTCGCCTTACAAAGGGCTGTTTAAAAACACACTTCAAGCTCCTTAGGCAAGAAAACTGCAACTAGTCACAATTGAATTCTGCAAATTACCTAAAATATGCCCATCACGCAAATGGTGGTAACTATCGATCCTGACAATAAAAAAAATCGCTTGGCAGCAATGTAGCTGCAAATTTAGGCTGTGCTGTCATACTTTTCAGGTATAGCATGGCTAAACGACATAAAATAGAACATTTTTAGATGGTTGCATTTCAGGCGAAACTTCACGACTGTGAAAAGTTATAGGTGAATTTGAGGCTTGTGCAAATATTCGAATGCTTCAAATATTCAAACAAATAATGCAGTATTCCAATTCATTCTGAATCAAATTTAAACTGTAGAAAATTTTTAATTATTCGAAATGAATAAATGTATATTAGTCTGCATGTGACGCTCTGAAAAGTTAGTTTCACTGCAGTAGAGCAGTGGGAAGCCATGAAAGCGCTTACTTCAGTGTGTACTAATTCACATGTGACCCTCCTGTAAAAATAACTTCACTGCAGTGAAGCATTGCTTAACAGTGCAAACACATGTCTAGAGAAAATCCGCACTGCCCCGGAAGCTTCACTTCAAGTTTAAATGAGGATGCCACCCTTGCATTGATTCATTTTTAGGTTTAAAAGCTTCTTGTACCAACTTCAAGTTTAAAGTTTCTACCACTGAGAACGGGACCCTTGCCACCCCTATCCTTGCTCTCAGACAGCTGTTTCTGCTGAAGACGTTTGTGCCACTGCTAACCAAACCTTTTTCTTTTCTATCCACTTTTCTCCAATATGTCCTTCCAGCAGGCACTGCGACATGGTCTCTACCAGGCTGCAGAAATTAGGAGCCTGCTTTTTCCATTACCACCAGTACCACCACCACCATTACCACCACCATTACCACCACCATTACCACCAGTACCACCACCACCAAGTTTATATTTTGTTCCATGTTTAGCGAAATTTAGGAAGTAACATATTTTACGAGCTATAACTTGCATTCTACCGAAAGTCAAATCCTGCTAGAATTTAAAGTTGCTTCTATAACTTGCATTCTACCGAAAGTCAAATCCTGCTAGAATTTAAAGTTGCTTCCGCTTTCTTTGATGCAAGAAAAGTGGCTTTTGCACAGACCTTGTTTCTATTTTTAAAAATGTTGTGCAGGTTAGTTATGACAAATAGCCCCCCCCTTTTTGTTTCCTACGATGTGATTTTATATATATATATATATATATATATATATATATATATATATATATATATATATATATATATATATATATATACTATTCGAATTTGATTAAAGATTATTCCATCGAACATTTTGAACCAAAAATTCTTTATTCACACAAGCCTAGTAAATTTCAATTATCCTAGTTCATTGCATACATTTATATTCGACAACGAAGCGTGGCAAGTCTCATTGAAAAATATTTGACCATTCAAAAGTTATGGCTTTGACACAAGAAAAAACAACTAAAAATAAAGTTTTGAGTAAGCTTGTGCGAATATCGAAGTTTAGATTCGAAGCAAATTCAAAACAAATAGTAATTTTAGTCGAACAATTTATATTCGAATTCGAATAGTAAATATGTCATACAAAGAAAAATGGGTATACTTATCATGACCTAAACAACCTCAACAATATCTTTCTTTTACTTAAAATGGGGCCGCCATGCAAACGTATTTTCTTTTCGTTCAATAGAAGGGGAAAGAACTTTGAACTGAAGCAGGATTTGATTTTTGGTAGGGCACAAGTCGTAGCATTTTAAAATTTATTATACTTGGAGCATAAAAGCTGTTATAAAAAGCCTGTAAGCTCAATAAAATGATGAATTGATTTGAGGGTAATATGTGTTCATTTAAAGGGGCCCTGCAACACTTTTTCAAGAAGCCATAGAATGAATTCACCTCCACAACAATTTTTAGAATCCGTCTAGTACAAGCCGAGTTGCAAAGTAAAAGAACTGTTGGGCTAGTAGGTAGAACATTTCAAAAAACTTAATTTTAGCGCAAACACACAACAAATGCACAGCGCTCACTTCCAACTAATTTATTCATAGCACGAAGGTTTGTTGAGTATATACATGTGGCACATGTGCGCATGAACACCACAGAGGGTCAAGAGCATACACTATGAAGACATACAATCTTTCTCTCACAGCCTAGAACTGATAAACTGGGATGAACTTGGAAACAAGGATAGCAAAAGGGCACTTATACAGTGGTCCTTTTTTTTTTCTATGTTTAATGTCTAAGTGTGTTTGCGCTCAAATTAAGTAGTTGGAGTTGCAAAGATTTGTTGCACGCTGCAATTGTTACAAGTGGCGGCCTCCCCGCGCCAGCCCCAGTACCGACCAAGCGTGCCATGCCAAATAGGCCAGTGGCTGTGGCAAGTGACTTTTAATCTTGTGGCGCCATTTGCTGAAAGAAGAGAGCAATATTTCTAGCTGATTTCGAGAATTTATTGTAAATCACAAGCCACGCGTTTAACTATATAATTTGGCATGTGCTATTCTCGATAGCCTCGACAAACGATCAGCAGTATCTTATGTCCATGCTCAATCAAGTGTTGCAGGGCCCCTTTAAATTTGAAGGGGGACTTTGCGGCAGAGTGAATTTCCCCTAAACAGGTGCTTTCACTGCTTAGCACCCTTACACTGAAGTGAAACCGTTTTTACAGGTGGTTACATGTGGACTAATATACACCTATTCGTTCCTTGCAAATACATATAATTTAGGTACGAATCAAAGCGAATTCGAACACTCTACTATTAGTTTGAATATTCGAAGCATTGGAATAACTGCACAAGCCCAGTCTTGAGAAAAACAAGAAACAGGTTTTCCAAACATGTTATGTACTTGATTGGAAAGTTGCGAGACACTAAAAGCCACCAGGCTTACAGCCGGGAGCTTCATCAGCTGCCACGAGCTCCCTGTTTGGTGGTTCTGTGGCTCCTAATTTTTTTCAAAACTTGTTTTTCATCAGCTGTTCACTGGTGGCTTGAATTTAAGCGAGTTCGGTGCCTGACGAGGCAAGCTACGGTACTGTAGTAGCCATAATCAATGTCAGCCTGCCTCAAAATCACTGTTCTCATTACTGAGCTGATATGTTCAATCCGACAGAATAAACAAAACGGTGCATGCGCCAAAACGTGCCTACATGGACATCTTTAGGGACACACTGTCAAAGCATCTCGCTGAAGCATTCATTCGCGTTTTAGGTTTTCGTGCAGGCACATTTCATCGAATTATTTCTATAGATGTCTGCGTAAACAGCCTTCTCTTTGTGCATGATGTCTGTAAAAAAACTCCCCTGTGCTTGAATTGTCCTGTGCACAGAGGTTTCACTCGATTGCAGGCACACTTAGTTCATAAACTTTGCGTTTCGGCTTTCATTTAACTCCAAACTTAGTCGTATCTTGTTATTTTGGTAAGACAAGAATCTGAGAACACTGAATTGACAAAAAAATTGCTTTCACAATGTTAGTACAACACGTCGGTGCAGTGTACACAAGGTGTCACTTGATGTTCCTTGACGCGGGCAGCTAGAGCTATTTAAATTAAAAATGGCCGCCATCACTATTGCTTAATCTTGATTGATTGATATGTGGGGTTTAATGTCCCAAAACCACCATATGATTATGAGAGACGCCGTAGTGGAGAGCTCCGGAAATTTTGACCACCTGGGCTTCTTTAACATGCCCCCAAATCTGAACACACAAGCCTACAGCATTTCCGCCTACATCGGAAATACAGCCGCCGCAGCCGGGATTCAATCCCGCGACCAGCGGGTCAGCAGCCGAGTGCCTTAGCCACTAGATCACGGCGGCGGGGCCATTGCTTAATCTTATTAAGCTTTAGCGTACCTCAGCACAAACCAATCTACAAGCATCCTGTGAAGTTCAGCACAAATATGAGTTTGTTTTACTAATCAAAATGCAAGTTTCATTCTCACAAAAAGTCAGTTTCAGTTCTAGGGAGGTCTACCAGTAGTTGTAAGAACCCATAGCTATCAAACAGAAGCAAATAGAGACATCATTTTACCTACAGTACATAGTTTCGAACATTAGTCGAATATTACACTTGTAATATTCGTATTAGATTCGATAACCACATAATCAAACATTTTGAATATTCGAACTAACTCGAACATTCCTCGAATATTCGATGTTCACGAACATACGTTTGCATATGTCACTGTGAAGAACTTACGATATTGCACATTTGCGATAAGAGCATCAGTAGATCATGCTGTAATTACTACAACTCCGGCGCGAGTGCAGTTGATGCCGGCATGGAAATTCACAAGAGCGTGATGACGGCTCTCGACTAATGCAGCGGGACATCATCACGACAAACCTACCAACGGTAAACATCTCATCAATCTAAATCATATTCTGCCTGCACGGCAGTACGTGTGGCTTAGTGGTTTAGCGGTATTACGATTAATGTAAGTGTATCGACCACGCCGTCCGCTGCTGCGCCCTTGTGTGCGAGTGCAAGGATATATCGCTTCTGAAAACGAAGGCAACTTGCCGCTGCCATAGTAGCTCGGCGAAACATTCTTCACACCTTTGCTTGATTCAACGCTGGATTGAGCAGGAAGAAAAAAAATATCTTTACGCAAGGGCAAATGCCCGCGTATACGTTACAGGGCCTGGCTCTGATTGAGTGAGCGTAGTAGGCAATGCACAGCACGCAAATAGCTAGGGGTGCGCTCACCTTAACGTACGATGGTAATTCATTTTATGTATAGCCACGCCAATTATCTCTAATGGGTTGCATACAAACGTACGCGCACATATCAAAGCCTGACGAGTCCTCCGTGAGCCGTGCCGCTACTCCAGCATGTATACCACCTTCATAGTTCCGGAATGATTTAATGGTAGCAAATATGGTCATGCGAATGAGCTGAAGTGTTTTTTTGTGCATTGGCAAACAGTAGAAAAGGCCATGCACTTTTGGTAACGTTGCAATGGTGTCATCACATATAGTTCTCCATTGCTAACGGCGGCACACGTAAGGTGACAGACGGATTAATGTGTTCCGCTGCGTTGCCGACAGCACCTTTGAAAATCCGTCAAAAACGCATCACGCTCGCGTAGCCATGTCTCCTGCAATCAACCCTCCAGTACATCGTTGCTGCGATCTCGCTCTTTTGCCAACGTCAGCTTACTTGCCGTCGGCAGCCAGTGCACCAAAAGGTGTCGCCATGCGGCAAAATAATGCCATCACCTCTGGAAGTTGTGGCTCCGTTACCAAAAACGGTTTCATACGTCCATTGCATACGTCAGTTAACTCACGGCCCTCAGTCCCCAGCAGCTGCAAAGCAACTGACCACGGCGGTGGTCAGATCTGCAAGGCAGAAGAGGGTGCTAAGAATCTCTGGATCCGGACAGGCCGCCATTGGAACCTGAACTTTGCAACGTTTAACGCTAGAACCTTATCTAGTGAGGGAAGTCTAGCTGTACTATTCGAGGAGCTAGAGGGTGTTAAATGGGATATATTACGGCTCAGAGAGGTTAGAAGGACAGATGAGGCTTATACGGTGCTACAGAATGGGCACGTCCTTTGCTATAGGGGCTTAGCTGACAGAAGAGAACTGGGTGCGGGGTTCCTAATTCACAGAAACATAGCTGGCAACATAGAGGAATACTATAGCATTAATGAAAGGGTGGTAGGTATCGTAATTAAACTGAATAAAAGATACAAGATGAAGGTGGCACAGGCTTACGCACCTACATCCAGCCATGATGACGCTTCAGTTGAAAGCTTCTATGAAGACGTGGAATCGGCAATGAGTAAGGTAAAAACACAGTATACTATACTGATGGGAGACTTTATGCAAAGGTAGGGAAGAAGCAGGCTCGGAGACCAGGCAGTAGGAGACTATGGCATCGGTACTAGAAATGCCAGAGGAGAGCTACTAGTAGGATTCGCAGAACGCAATAATTTACGGATTTTGAATACCTTCTACCGAAAACGAGGAAACCACAAGTGGACATGAAGGAGCCCTAATGGCGAAAATAAGAACGAAATAGACTTTATAATGAGTGCACACCCAGGCATCGTGCAGGATGTGGAAGTAGTTGGCAAGGCACGATGCAGTGACCATAGAATGGTACTGTCTCGAATTCGCCTAGACTTGAAGAAGGAACGACAGAAACCTGATACGCAAGAAGCCAATCAATGAGCTAGCACTGAGAGGGAAAGTACAGGAATTCAGAGTCTCGCTTCAGAACAGGTACTCGGCTCTTAGTGAGGAAACCAACCTTTGCGTAGATACAATGAATGATAATCTGACGAGTATCATTACGGAGTGCGCAGTGAAAGATGGAGGCAGGGTAGTTAGACAGGACACTGGCAAGCTTTCTCAAGAAACGAAGAACCTTAATTAAGAAGCGTCAAATCATGAAAGTCTCAAGTACAACAGACAAAATAGAACTGGCAGAGCCTTCAAAGTTGATTAATAGGCGTAAGGTATGCAATGTGAGAAGGTATAACATGGAGAGAATTGAACACGCTCTGAAAAACTGAGGAAGCGTCAAAGCAGTGAAGAGGAAACTAGGGATAGGCAAAAATCGGATGTATTGACTAAGGGACAAAGAAGGCCAAGATAACTACCAATATGGATAGGATAGTTAAAATAGTGGAGGAGTTTTACAGAGATCTGTACAGTAGCCGGGATAACCACGGCTTTGATACTATAAGAACTAGCAGTAACCCAGATGACACCCCACCAGTAATGATAGAATACGTCAGAAAAGCTTTGGAGAGCACGCAAAGAGGCAACATCAGATCTGCTGAAAGATAAAGGACAGATTGTGTTAGAAAAACTAGCCACCCTGTTTACGAGATGTCTCCTGACAGGAAGAGTACCAGAGTCTTGGAAGAACGCAAACATCATCTTAATACATAAGAAAGGAGATGACAAGGACTTGAAGAATTACAGGCCGATCAGCTTGCTCTCTGTAGTATACAAGCTATTTACAAAGGTAATTGCTAACAGAGTAAAGAAAACATTAGGATTCAATCAACCAAAGGAACAAGCAGGATTTCGAACAGGCTACTCTAACAATCGACCACATTCATACTATCAATCAGGTAATAGAGAAATGCTCAGAATATAACCAACCACTATACATAGCCTTCATAGATTACGAGAAGGCGTTTGATTCAGTAGAAATATCAGCCGTCATGCAGACACTGCGGAACTAGGGCGTCGATGAAGTATATATAAACATCCTGGAAGAAATCTACAGGGGATCAACTGCTACCACAGTGCTTCATAAAGAAAGCAACAGAATACCAATCAAGAAGGGTGTAAGGCAGAGGACACAATTTTTCCTGGAGAAAAAAGATACTGGACAGATTCTAAGAATTTTTGCAGCAGTGAATTCGATAGGCAATCCATTTCATGGTACTTGAAAATGTGTTGCAGGGCCCCTTTAAAGCAACAGCATTACAATAAGACACCAGCATTGTATAAGTGATGAGACCTCAGCTGATGCCTTTCCAGGCACACTACTTATTAATGATACATATATATCTTTATAGCCACCTTGCTTGTTGGCGAACAGAAATATTACTGAAAGCAAGAAATTCAAGAGCAGTGATTGTTCTGAGAGGAAAAAAAGCTTACACGGGGTGGTACTTGGCATGAACAATAGTGACGGCATGCTTTAATGACTCTGTAGGTTAATTTAACATGCTCTGCATATTTCACAAGCCTGGCATGTTCTAAGTGGCAAACATGGCATAGCATACACTACAAATGTCTTCAAACATGTGAACAAAGAAGAATCACTCGAGTGGCCCACTTGGTAAGATACAGCTACATTGTGCTAACAAGTGATCAAGCTGAAGTGCAATGTGATGGTTCTTGGTTCAGCCCCCCCCTCTAACTAGTAGTTATAATACTATAACTACTAACTACAAGTATAATGCCCCCTAAACTTTTCTTTGCCTCATTCAAACAGAATCTTGAGGCAGAGTGGCACCATGTGTTGGGGAGTTCATACGATTGAGTCAGACATTAGAAAACTATATAGCTCGTGCACATCACAGTGAAAGTACACGGCAAACGAACAGTGACAAGGATACATTGACTTCCACTCCAAGACGAAGCTTCACGCAGCAGCAGGCGTTCCTCGTTGCAGCTGCAGATTTGCACCCTGCGTGAGAGATGTGCGGGCGAATTAATTAGTCATGGGAAGTGCTTCAAAGTACAAGTGAACTTTCCCTTTAGTCACGACTGGCAATCTTCAATAAGCTGGGGAGTCTTGAAAATTGAAGCACAAATCAAGTCTTGCTAAGTTTCTCTAAGTTAACACAGCTATTGTTCATTACTGCCTCGTGAAACTTTTTCCATCACAAATTCTTAAGTCCATCGATTGTCAATGACATTTCACAAGAAATGTGAAGAAGACACTGGAAGCTGAATCAGGGGGGTGCCCCCCCCCCCGATTCATGCATGGCCCAGAAGTTATGTTGCCACATGACATAGCCTCAAGCATTTCCTCTATCATCCTTTAGCTTAGTGGCCACTACCCGAGGTTCCAGTGTGCTAGGTACTGTAGCTGTCATGTGAGTGGTCACAATAGAATGTGCCACTGGCATTATACATGTCTGACACTTCTTCAGTTTTATTCCTGGAGAAAAAAGCTGCTTAATGGCACCTTAAAGGCACTGCACATCATGACAAAAAATTAATGACAAAAATTTAAAGCGGTGAATACTTTAGGGTACTCAGGAAAAGGTCTGGCAGTCTTCTTTAGTGAAAGCGTAGGTCTCCCTGCCGAATGTGCTGGCATATGTTATTTTTCTGAGCTGTTCACGAAAGTGTCTATTCCCGAACGACTACAACTATTACAAGGTGAACAGAATGATTGGGTTGTTTGTATTCCATAATTTGCAAAAAAAACAGCTTGAAAAGCAAAGTGAGAGACAAAGACTCGACAAATGCCTTAACAAGGTCACACTGTGTGACGATTCTCTCTGGTTCGTGTCTTTCCTGTTTTGGGGCAAAGGAATACTGTCAAGTTTAACTGCACATCCCCCCCCCCTTCCCCGAGACAATGAGCAGGCACCAGACACCCACCTAAACTGCGAGGCTTCACTTCCAGAGGTCTTTCTCGGGCACCATGACTCGTCGTCCTCATCATCCTCATCCTCGCTGGCATGCCCGTGGTGAACCTGAATGACGCCCTTGTAGGCGGGAACGAAGGGTCGCATCTCGCGCGGCACGTGCAGATAGAAGTGCAGCTCCCTCGGGATGAGCGGCTTGCAAAGGGTGCCAGGGTCCAGCAGGAGCATGCGGCTGTGGCCTCCCACCTGGTGAGTGAATGGCAGCAGCACCGCTTCTGTGTCCTCACGGCCCCCACTGGCCATGTGCACCACCATCACTCCCTGCATATTGCAGACACATACGCGGCTGTTAGCTGACAGATCAATCGACACTACAAAGTGAATCACGTTACAGGATTAAGGCAAGTTTCGTCATGCTGGCAGAGTGGCTTCGTAGTTAAGGGCTGTTGACTCCACGGATGCATGCTTTATCATGACAATGGCAGTAGCATTCTGATCAATGTGAAATGCTAGAGGCCCACATAGTACACACATAAGTGCATGTTAATAACCCCAAGTAGTTGAAATTATCTGGAGTCCGCCACTACAGTGCCTCTCACAGCCGTGTCACTCTAGGGTAGTAAAACACCATAAACTTAAGGAAAGTTCATTTAGACACCGTCAAAATAGATTATGACAAGCTCAATGGAATAGAATAACTTTATTAATGTCCTCCAAGGAGTGCACGAGCGCACTTAGGGCTCCCAAAAAGCCTAGCCTAACAGTCTCTTTGTAAACAAAAAAAGATAATAGCAAAGTCTGTGGTTTTAGACACAAGAACTGTGATTTGGTGAGGTGGAGAACTCTGCATAAATTTTGACCTTCTTTGGATAAATTTTACCTAAGCATGGAAACATTTTTAAAATTTAACCACCATCAATATTACGGTGGCCAGGAAAACTTGTACCATCGTACTTAACAGCACAAAAGGTAAGGCGCTAAGCTGACACCGCTGGTGTAGTTCTTTAGTACTATGGTTAATACACAGAAAAAACAAACAGCACAAAAAGTTATTTAAACCACACAGACAGCTACATAACAATCTAATCTGCATGGAAAGCAACAAACTCCAGAGGTCAACAAAACGCCAGAGCATTTACTGGAGCCAACTATCATGGTAAGTGCAAATAACACTTTGGTCGTACATTGGAAACACATTCGATACATTTTACGCTGTGCATTACAAACTTTATGTGAGAAATATTTTGTAAGTATCCAACATTTCTTAACACAGCATTCTGTTACCCTAAATAAGTCCCCATTTCAAAGCGTACCCAAGCGAACACCAGCCTGTTTATCTGTCACATAGGATGAGACACTGTAAAGTAATTAATGCATGAAATAAAATATATCGTAAAAAAAAGCATTGGCAGTGATGGGTATCAAACTTACGACCCCACACTCAAAAGCCGAGAGTCCCACCCATTGGGAGAACACCCTTGCTTGCAGAATGTGTATTTGAACCAAAGGAATGTGTTGCTACAAGAAGACGCTTAGGAACACAAGAAAAATCGAAGATGCCTTAGCCAATGTTAGCCGATGATGATCCACAAAAGGCTGGAACACCTAACAAGTGCAGGATATACGAACATGTGATAGTGGGCATCACTGAGAGATGAACAGCGCACTAGTCGCCATAACATAGCATTTAAAAATGACCAAACAGCCAGCGGTTAGTAGCAAACGTCCACACATCAAATAGAAGATTCTGCATGCAACTCTACATTACTTGTCTGTTTTCATCACTCTTTTATTATTCTTTTTTGTTGGTGTCATTGCCGTTGCTTGACTCACTGCTCTCACTCTCTAATACAGCAAAGAACGACCAATGCACACTCAAGTACAAAAACATAATAGACGTCTTCAAGCGATCAAGCACTTGACCATAAGTGTGATTGACGACACTTTCTCATTACGGCACACATTCCTAGTGCAGCTGTGCCAACAGCCGCTACAAAAAAAGCAGACAATGGGAAAGCCACATTGGAGGCTGCCTGCCCGTCCATCCAATTTCTGCAGCGATGCGAGCACCTGTGGTGTAGTCATCAAACCGTTGGGGCTTGTGTTAGATACTAGAGGGAGTACTATGGGTCAAATGCAGCCATTAAAACATTTTAACTTGCTTGCAAATGTCACTACTCTCTCCCTCATTAACTGCCCTTTTTATGCAGCTGCCATTAACATCTTTGCACAAGTCACCGGTTTCAGGGGAACTTTACACGCAATTTTTCCGAACAGCTGCGTGCACACTGCAGAAGCAGCTGGTTGTGGGCAATACTACACAGAGTTCAAATCCTTGTCCATGAGAAACCCATTCCGCTAGCTGCAGAAAAGCTATTGGGATTTTAAAACTAATTGCATACACTGTACAATTCTGTTTTGGTATGAATAATATCGCATTATGTCTCACCTTCATTGCTGTACCTTCTTCAGTAAATTAAGTATTATTTTGGTTGTACCCCTTCCCCTCTAACATGATTGAGTGGTGCGAGAATAATGAATAAATTAAATAAAAAGAACATGTTTTACTGTTATAACCTGGCTAGCAAGTGACCAAAAGTGCCAAGTGAACTTATTATGACAATAAGCAGCAACTATTAAACAAATACCAGAATTTTTCAGTCAACCCTGAAGAAGCTGACCAGAGAGGTTGTGGACAAGTAAAAGTAGACTATGCATCAGACCATAACAGTTTTCAAACAGTTTTCAAGTGTTCATAGTAATGTCCAGGTGGATTTTAAGGTACAGCAACGGTCGTTATATTGCATTATTCAAAGGTCACAGGCTCGGTTCCTGCTGGTGACAAATTCTCTTTTCGTCCACTTTCATTTCTTCACTAATGTTTTTACACTCATGTCGTAGAATATGTCCCCTGAACGTTTCTTTCCTTGACTGTCTGTCAGCTCTCGTTAAGGTCATGTCTAAAAAAAAAGAACAAGCCATTAAAATTCCTCTTCAATTTATTCATTCATAACGAGGGTCTCATTCTGGCAGACTTCGTAACCTCGGGTAGTATGTGAGGAATTATTGGTCAGCTGCCAGCTCATAAATAGATTGCGTGCATGTGATGCCAGCAGGCAAAAAAAGAGTTCCACACTCACAGTCAGGTCTCCTACAACTCTGACTAACAATACTTTGTTTTAATGCACAGATATGCCCCATGAAGTGAACAATGATCCGATTGCCACTGTAGTTCACTTTGTAGAGCATCTGCTATTCAAAGTTTGCAGGTTTTGTCCCTGTCGGTGGCAAGCTGCCTTTTCATACACTTTTATATTTTCAAATTTGTGTTATACAAATAATGTCCTGTACACTTTTCTCGGCTAGTTCGTCAGTTGGTTCTTCTTAAAGTTGTATTTGGCAAACAAACAAAAGAATGGGCCCTTAAAATTCTCTTCCTTTGCGTAAGGTTTTATTTAGTAACACACTGCATTAATTAGTTCAGTTCAGCATCTCACAGCAAAGAGAAGTGCAGTTCAAGGTTCAGAATTCATACAACTATCTTGGGTTGTGAGGTGTTAAGCTCAGCAAGTGTATGACATTGAAGTCAATCCCACAAATAAATTAATGTGCAATGAAACGCCCGCAATGAATGACAAGGCTCAGAAGTATTTCAGGTAGGTCAGAGTGAAAAAGCTTTACGGAAATGTGCGCACTACATAAGAACGAAATGCCAATGAGTGAATTGGGAGCTGTATCTATTCTGCGCCGTTGCTTTTATATGTGATCCACTGCGCATCCAGCTTAGCGCTGGACAAACCAAGTTTTTGCACCGAGTTGTTTATTCAGAGCACAGGAGCATCAGTAGGATTTCTTCCAGACATGCATAAGGAAGCCAAGATCAGTACAAAAAAAAGAGTTAAAAAGACGAAGATTGAACAAATGGAGCTACTGTGATTAAGTTCGGTACCCTGTAGATGGAAAAGTAGCTGCAGTGATTCAGCTTTATTAAAATTTCTTGTTATAAATGCTTGGGTCATATCACTGACCTTGCATTGTATGAACAGTTGTTGGACTACCAAGTACTGTAATATAGGGTCAGTAGCCAGCACTTCGCAAAATTATTTCATCTTTCTTTGTTTCGATCCACCACAAAATTTTTTCCTGCTTTCACAGAGTGCACGGTCAGTCAATCAGTGCAGTAGAGCAAAAAAAAACTTATACAGATAAGTATAACTTCACTGAAAAGGCGCCCCGCCGCGGTGGTCTAGTGGCTAAGGTACTCTGCTGCTGATTCGCAGGTCGCGGGATCGAATCCCGGCTGTGGCAGCTGCATTACCGATGTAGGGAGAAATGCTGTAGGCCCGTGTGCTCAGATTTGGGTGCACGTAGAAGAACCCCCGGGTGGTCCAAATTTTTCGAGCGCCCCACTACGGCGTCTTTCAATCATATGGTGGTTTTGAGACATCAAACTCCACGTATCAATTGATCACTGAAAGGCTTCGCTTTATTAGTACTATCTGTACACTTAAGCACCCAGCAACCTGGAGATCAATGTAGGAAGGAAGGGTGCATACAGAAAAGCCACAAAGCTGACATGAAAAAAAAACGTCTGATTAAAATCAACAGCTGTTCAGTCAGTGTTACACAAGTGATGCTAATAAAGATTCAACAATACAACACAACAATGTACATATCATAAGGAATGACGAAAAGCTCATTCGACAGTCGAGATCTAGGTTCCACAAGCCTTGAGGAGTGGATACTGTAGTGGGTATGATGTACTTGAGTTCACGAGGGATTGCGGCCAGTTCCTTATTCCCACATTCATGTTCTAATCAACACCTGCTCTAGAAACCGTGTAGTACAATCTGGTTTCTTGAATGTCAGTTGCACCCGCTAATGCTGTGTTAAATCCAGTACACCTGTGGAACTTACACAAGGCAGAGGACGGCGGTGAACTACCACCATAGCTAAATCTGCAAAGCATTGCAAACACCTCACAGAGATAGCAGGCTTAGCATGCACTACCACTAAAGTTCAGGAAAAAATGTCCTCTGAAGAAATGTTCACGGAAGATACATCCCCTGAATAAACGTCCCAGAGAAAAATGTCCCCATTAGCGTTATCGCGAAAAATGTCCCCTGCGGATACTATCGAACGTGCACCTTCTAGTCACCAATTTTTTATTTTTCAAAGAAAAAAAGATGTGTGCGAAGATTGCAGTTTACTGAAAGATTAATGACGAAGCACCTTAATGACATGCCAACTGTCCCAACTTATCTGTATAAGTGTTATGTCTAATGCTATATCACATATAATGCGCACGTCACATACATGTT